TGCGTGCTAGATACAGTATAAACTACGAAATGCAGAAACGAGAAATTCTGTTTAAAGGAGGATACAACTCTTGTTACCGTGGAAACACTGTGTCAATAGCAGGACCAGTTTATTAACACGCTGTAGGCTAAAATAACAGATCTAACGGAACTTCCAGCTGCTAATAATCTGAAACTTAATCAAAAGGGGTGGTTCGCAGTCGCAACAAGAATTACACGTAGAATTTCGTGGAATATGATATGAATATTATCTAGACATCTTGTAATCTAGATTCTTGTTAAACACGCCATCCTGATCCAACAAATTTTCCATATATCCTCCAATTAAGAAAGAACAGAGCCAAGATTGCCAAGGCAGTAATTTTATTTATAATTATTTGAGATGAAAAATGCTAACTGAGCTTGCAAAATTTTCAAAAACATGTGGGATTTCGTTAAATACTTTTGCGTTTATTCTCATAGAAGTAACCCCACGCGACGCCGGTGCTGTTCACCTATAATCCGCTTCTCTTTTCTTTTCGCCGCCGCTCCGATTCGTTCTCTTCCGGCTCGATGCTTCTCCTTTTTTTCGCACACTCAAATACCTCACACTCTTCCTCCTTTTCTCCGCGCACGCATCCACACACACACACTCACACACGCCGCGATCGGCTTGACAACCCGTGTTGTCTAAACATAACAAACACGCCACGCACGATCGTCTTCCATTCGTTCTTCCTTTCCAGGCCATTCTTCACACCAACTCTTTCATACCAAAATCCCCACAATTCACACACACGCGCAGCCAATGCTGCCCTCTCTTTCTCTTCTTCACCCTCGCTCTCACTTTCACTCCCACAAACATAAACAACCAATGTTACTAATTTTCTAAAAAAGCCTCCGCATGTCGAAGTTAACTGTAGATACTGTTACGAATCGCGATGTGCTTGTTGCGAAACCGATAATTGTCCCTCTTTTTGAGTCAAACCGTTTAACCTTTTCGCTACGGCGCGCTTGTGACAAAATATGCTCGCTATGAACGGAGCGCATTACTGACTAGTCGACACTGAGGTACATTTCATATCTGATTTTTGTTTCCCATATGTTTCCAATATCTGTCTTATAAGATTTAAATGAAATTTGGCAAACGATCATTTTGTCGCAAAAACAAAAAAGATACAAAAGTATACATGGTATGAACGTATATGTACGCTCTTCGTACCCGAGCGCCCACTTTTCGAGAGCGTATATATACGCTCTTCGGAGCGAAAGGGTTAAAGAATCTACTCGGGATAGGGGACTCAGGTAGTGCTCGGAAGATAGACTATTAACGCACAACAGTTTGCTGTTAAAACTATGTATTTGTGAATGAACGTGAGCAAAGCGCGAAATGCCTAAGCTTACTGATCGGAAAATTGTATATGTCTTGTCGTGCGGAGTTCGCTATTTTATAAACTACGTGTGTGTTGTGATTGGTGGTGTGAAGCTGTCGTAGGTGGTGGAAGTGTGCGGTGATTGGCTTGTTCGGTGTGTTTGGGGTGTGTCTGGTGGTGTGAAAGTGGGGAATTTGTTCTTACATTTGTTATACTGCTTGTTGGAGGTCATGTGGTGTTCAGGTGTGAGAGGCGTCTAGTTTTTGGGTGTCGGAAAGTAATTTTCGTACCGGCTAAGACCTCGCTTTTTTGGACGTGCTGGTCTATCGGGAATACCGATGTATTGTTCGGCTCATCGGTACGGCCGAACCGCCCAAGCGACGTCTGTTACGCATGTGACAATTATCACAGTAGTTATATTGGACGATTGCAAAAGTTCGTGCCCGATTTGAAAATAAAATACAATCGGTGTGTACCAAAGCAGATTTCATTCGAAACTGAAATGGAACGAAGTGGATAATTATTTGAAAGTAAAACACAAGCGGTGTATCTTTCGATAGGATTGTAACATTACGCTAAAAGAAACATCTGTGCCGAAGTCGATAAGGTTCTCGCCACCTCTGAAAATCGGACACGAACTTTTGCAATCATCCGATACAAAAGAAACGGACCTCTGTTTCGAGATAAGTTCAATTTTCGCGCCATTAGCGATAGCCACCAGATTGAAGATTAAATTGACGATGCAGTTTATAAGTGGTAACGAGAGACAATCAGACTCGAATATTCAACATCTCTTACTTCTCGTCTAAAAAAAAAACACAGTGGAGATAAACGATAGCAGCTCGATCTTCCACATTATCCTCCGTCCGTATCTTCTGCATTAAATACCGGTGAAAATGACCGAAGATAACCGATATACGAAAGCTTGGAACGGCGGTGAAGATGTTATTTATTGAAAATAATAGAGGTAAATGGTGAGAGAGGGGAGGAGGATGTCCGAGGCAAACGATTCGGTTGACGGGTGTCGCACGGTGGAAAATCGGGCCTCGATCCTTTACGAGGAGGTCGAGTATCCTTGGATGGCGGTGCAGCTCTCATTGGTCGACCGTAAGCCCCCTACGAGTCGATGGCTCGTATTTTCGAGCAACCCAGACGAGGCGTCTTTCCCATCGATCGCACGGAAAGCGTCGCCAGACGACGAGGAGCCGTAATATCGTTACGGCCGGCTGCAACCCCGTAAGACTCGACGACGTGCATGCCGCGACTAAAGCCGATCCATTCTTGAATTTTAATCCTTGGTGGCCACGATCCTTCGTACGAGCCGTAATTCATACGAAAACTGTGGGTGTCTAACGCATGTAATGAACATCTGCTTTATTTCAAAATTTTTGGCTAGATTGCAGTGCACAGGGTGGTCCCGAAATTTTGGCTGATAGGGAATTTCGTTTGAAAAAATTAAATTGGTAGAATGGTAATTATTTTGCATAGAGATCCTGATGGATTTTACAAGTTTGGAATTTAGAAATTTTCCTTGGTCAAACATCAGAGTATAATAAATACAGTGTAGTTATTGTTTGGATGATAGTTTGCTATACAGATGAAGGTGATACTTCTTAGGAACAGGGAGAAATAGAAATTTCGATAAAATTATTTTACGTACAGATCGTAAGGGTTGCTAAAAGTTTGGAATTGAGAAATTTTCCTTGGTCAAACATCAGAGTATAATAAATCCTGTGCAATCACTATTTTTGCCTTGCGAATGTACTTTGCCTTAACCACCATTGCAAACACATTTTGCAAAAAAGAGAAAAAATATAATACACTACCGATCATAATTCATTTCGAAATCTCATTCAGAAATCTTCACATCGACCTCCACACAGTGAAGTTCATCATCCTCGCCAATCTCATTGTTTCCCTACGTTTACCTTCAATTTCGCTGCATTTTAACGGACGCGATTAAACTGTCGAGCTTAACAGTTAAAATTCTCTCTAAACACCCTGTACACACTAAATTACCCTCAAGTACTTACACCATCCCTCGAACCCCGTTAAAAAAGAAAAAAGAAGAAGAGAAGCTGTCAAGAGTCACCTCGTCATCTATTCTCCGCACTTCCTGCCGACAACTTCCTTAAATCTTGAAAATCGACGAGCACGAGTGCATCTTCGAGAGAGAGAGAGAGAGTACATTCTCCGAGGGGTTCGAGGCAAGGTAGAGAAAAGAAAAAAGAAGGAAATGGGGAAAGAGGGTAGATCAAGACGGGGCTCGATTATTTTTCCAACAAGGGGGAAGAGAATGTGTATATAGACACGCGTGTGTACGAAAGTGGCGAGGTCGGCAAGATTTGCGAGATAGGAATTTCGAGTGGTGGTAGAACGTAAAAGGACGGGATACTACATCGTTTCTACTTATTGTTAGCAGGTCTCCGCGGGGAGAAAATTAACGCCGGTACAAGCTCCGTGACTTGGGGCGAGGAGGGAGAGCCAAGTGAAAAACGAGGGATTCCCCGTGCACGAAAGCTCCCCAAGAACGAACCAACCCTTTTATCCCCTTCTCTGCCGACCCCGCCAGACGTATATTTACCCCGAAAATTATACGTTCGCGCGGTTAATAATTACGCTGGCCAAGCTCCTCGTTGCTTCTCGCAGCTGTGATTCGAGCAACGAATCCCAGCACACGTTGAAAATTAGTTGAAAAATTCTGTGAGCGATAATTGGACCATTTTCCTATTTTCTTTTTTTAGAATGCGACGTTAGCAACGTTCGTTGGGAATATTCGTCAATTTTTCTGTACTAAATAATTTCATCTCAAATTGAGGTTCGTTATTATCGATCGTTAAAAATAGATCATCGTTTATGGCTAAATTCGTGATTAGCGTTTCGGGAATCAGAATGAGTGATTGAAACAGAATCTTTCATTAAGGTGACTGTAATTTTTGCTAAATTCCGTTTGAGGATTTTGTGGATCTTAAGAATAGATCCTCGATTTCTTCGAAAGCGACTCAGGATGAGTAAATTGAATCTTTCATTAAGGTGACTGTAATTTACAGAGACAGGATTTTACTTTCGTTGCAACAAATGTTTACGTATTGATCGATTTTAATTCGGGACATTCGCGAACACAGAAATCCTACCTTCCCGGCTTCGCGAATGAAGACAGCGAAAGGATTATTAGGCAGTCTTTCTCTTAAAAAATTCTATTTCACGTTTTTAATTAGCCACAATGGTTCGTATTAACAAGTGCGTTTCTATACCCGGGGAGACAATAATCAGAGCCGAATTCGCAATCAAAGGATCATTGAGTGGCGTATGAAAAGCTATAAATCTGTATGAAAAGATTCTTGATTAACGGACGTGATTGTGACTGCGCGGATCAGCCAGGAAGTTATTACCAGTTCCCATGGATTCGGGTTCAATGATTAATCGCGAACGAAACGAACCCGCTGGCTTTAGTTCGCTGTTTCGCGAAATTTTCGTCTCTTTAAAAAAACAAAACAAAAAAGTGCGCAAAAAAGCTCTTCGAGTGGAAGAATTTTCATCGAAAAGGAGAACTCTCGTTTAATTGAAAAACGAACCGTGACGATCGAATGAAATTTCAATTTTCACGATTTTCTTTTTTTTTTCTTGTCCTTACTCACTCTGTTTGCAGGCGTTGGCTGGAAGTAAGTATGACGACAAGCACCTAATGAGCAACGAGGTGATGGAGAAGACTCCGTCCCCATTGAAATCGACGTACAACTCCCAATCATCGCGAAACTCTGATTGCCCGCCGTCATCCAAGCCAGCAATGGCGAATCGCCTCCTGGATTGGTTCTCCGTCGTGATGGCCGACTCTAAGCACCGTCGCTCTCATCCTAAACCGAATGGTACGAACATGTAGCTCTGGTACTATGCCAATCTTCAATTTATCGTTCGCGTCAGATTTCAATAATTAAATCAATAATTCGCAGCTCTTCCCTGGGTACGTTAATTCGAATATTTCATTAAATCCGGGGAATTCGTGAAAATCTCCTTTAACTTTGATATATTCCATGCAGGACGTAATTTTATCATTTCCATCTTGCCTTTTTTGGAATAATTTTATTTGTATCGTATTCAACCCTTAGCTGTAAACTGAATTTTTATTTCACCATGGACACCATTGGGAGAATTTTGGGAGCTCTAACGTTGAGTACCTTTAATCGAGAATATGTGACACTGTTTCCATAAGAAAATCTGAACTTTTTATATTAGATTGTAAAGATATTGTTTTCTGAAATATTTTCAAACGGCTGAACGAACAAGTGTTGTATATTGTTGAATAAAATGGTTACGTTAGAGTTATTTTTGTAACACAGTGATCGAAGCAAGGTAGGGAAATGTAAATTTGAAGATGAAGTTACTCGTATAATTCCAGTTAATTTCTACCAAGTAAACAATAAGGATAGAGCGTAAAAATCGCGTGACAACTGTAACGATAATTGCTAGGCGCGTTGCTTTAACGGCACCCACAAACGGAAGCGGCAGTGACGTGTTGAAAGTTGCTCTAATTATCAGTAGAGTGCACATGCGATGACGTGGCGCAACAAATTAGGAACACGGACACACACCGAAATTCTTGCATCGTCATTCGCGTTATCGAACCAGTTACCTAACACTTGCCCGGTCCAACTAGTTTTCAACTAACGATATTTAATGAAAATAGTTGAGTTGACAAGGGATTGACGTGAAAGCTGTATCCAGCCAGGGTATAGACAATATCCAAGTCGTTAAATCGAGATTGAGACGACTGTTGTGTGCCTGAGATTCAATTCGAACCGTTACAGATTCGTGAAAGCCCGTTAAAACGGTCCCTGAATCACCGTTTCCAATTAGGACGATCATCAAATCGAGTAATCCAGTCGCAATGACCCTAGAGTCGATAGCGAGAACCTCGAGTCTTGTAACGAGCCAAAGTCATCGATGGATAGATCGATCGAGAATAGACATTGATGAATTTCACGTCCTATTTCGGGTACTATAGTGAAACGTGTGAATTAGTCAAATTGGACGGTGATCTGTAAGGAGTCGGTTCGGAGAAGAAATGATCGTTTGCTCCTTAGAAAAGGTTCTTTCTCTGAAATTTTTCATATGGAGACTCGTCGATGCTTAGATCTTATAATCGTCAATTATTGAATATCTCGCTAATTTAGAATTGGGTGCACTTTTTAAATTTTTTATATGGAAACTCGTCGATGCTTATATCGTGTAATCGTCAATTACTGAATATCTGACTAATTTAGAATTCTGTACATTTTTAAAATTTACCGAATTAAAAATTTTTTCTTTTTTAAAATTTACAAAGATACAAAGATTAAATTAACTTGTTTCACTTCGAATATTTCTTGAACCGTTCAACCATTAGTTCCAGCACACTTTCTCAGCGAACTTTTCAAAAGCCCAAAGTTCATAAATAAAGCTTTAATTTCCCTCGTGAAAGCTCTCCACACAAGCGCTCTCAATTGAGAGCAAAGGGTTAAATACCACATTTACTCGCTGCGAAATTTTTTTGCAAAGATCGAAGGAGATCGTCTGGTGACAACGAACCAGCGACACGTTTAGCATTGATACACGGCGACGAAAGCTCGGTTCGCGATAAACCATCCACAATGACCAGGTCTACGGGTCGCAGAAAGCGTAGCTCGACGATCGAGCTTGAATATACAAGAGACTAATTGCTCCGCACGAAAGGGGTGGTCTCCGGACATTACAACGCGCACGATCTACCGTAGTTCGGAACTGCCTCACGTCACTGCACGCTATTCGACTTCTGTACAATCACTTTCGTACCAGTTCGGAATTGTCCCGTTCGAATGAATCGTTTCCCGTTCAGATCTGCGATTACTTCGACCTGTCTCCGTCGATATTGTCTCCGACCCTGTACCGTCTCAGTTCACCTAGCCGCGCGCGCGATCTTACGATCGTGTACCGTGTGCAACGCACTCGGTTCGTTCAAAAATTTACACGTTCATTTCGTAACGGAGTACCGTGTGAAATTTCTGAGGAACACTTTCAACGCCAGTTTAGGGTCCGTATAGAGTCTGTGGGAGAAATACAGCGAGGTCGTAGAATTGGTCGATGTAAGCACGGTTCAGATCTACCAACAAAGTTAGGGTGTGACGTATAGTTGGTGGAATTGATGTAGCGAGGACATACGTCGATGTCACCACACATGTAGCCTGCTACAGTTGTTCTGCTGACTGCGAGGAACTGATATATCGAAGTTAATCGTGCAGTAGCGTACGCTATAGCCTGTTGAGATTCTGTTGCCGTTCAAGGCCAGCGATGGGGCACCCCCCACCACTTCGAGTGTATTCAGAGGATTCTTAACGTATTGTAACAGCTGAAGAATTTTTTGTCTTTGTTTCAGACAGTGAGAAGGTTTCAGTGTTTGAAATTTCAAAGGCATAGTCTTTTTTGAATTCTAGAGGCATAGTTTCTTTGAAATTTCAGAGGTATAGTCTCTCTGAAATTTCAGAGGTATAGTCTTTCTAAAATTTCAGAGGCATAGTCTCTTTGAAATTTCAGAGACACAGTCTCTCTAAAATTCCAGAGGCACAGTCTCTCTGAAATAAACGACAAAACAAATTGGAATTACAAAGTATCGTGAACCCACGGTATTGAATATTAATACACTTTGCGGTTAGAAAAGTAAAAGCTTGCTCGTTCGATTTTCCAAATATTAACTAACCACGTTCTACGATCATTCGACCCGATAAATTCGAACGCATTCGCTTGACCGCCTTTACCCGATAACACAATCCATAGAGGCAGTCAGGTTACGCGAGGTGGTGCGGTACCCGCGGAGAGAGCGAACGATATTTATATTTCATCCTGATCCGTCTACAGAGACACGCGGCCATCGGAATTCATATTTCATTCTCGCGCCGTTTCCAGGTCACTTCCCCATCGGTTGCCAGAGCGAGGTCAGGTGGATGTTCGGACATTTGGACAGCGACAACGACGGCTGGCTCTCTCTTTCCGAGCTGTACGGGCTGGAACATGATCAGAACGAGCCCTGCCTCAAGCCGTTCCTCGACGGCTGCAAAACCGATGGGTAAGAGGGTTTCTTCCGTCACGCTTGTATTCCATACACGTAGATCCCCGCTAGCCTGTAATCCGTTTGTCACATCGCGGCGAATTTTTCTTTCCTTCTCTCTTCTTTTTCTCCTCTCTCTTTTTTTTTCTTTTTTGTTATACGTAATTCCGTCGTCCGTTGCTTGTAAATCATTAAACTCCGCGGATACGTGACCTGAAAAGGGAACGAAATAAGAGAGAGAGAGAGAGAGGGGGGAGGGGGAGTGAGAGAGAAACCCTTTCAGTTTTTAATACCTTCGAGGGGCTTGACGCTCGAGCGTAATAGGTCTCGAGCGGTACGTGCCTACGTAGCGGAGTGGTTGGTCGTTAAGAGGCAGACACACGACCGTGTGTGAAACTTTCATTCCAAGTCGATTGCTTTTTGCCAGCGTGCGAGTAAGGAAATAAGAAATGATGGCTCGTTGCGTTTATTGCATTCGAAGAGTGGAGAATTTGTTCCATTAGGGTGTGTATGAAGATTAAACTGGGGACTATTAGAGTAGAGCCGCGTTGCCTATAGTCTCACTCGAAGATTTGTCTGCCTCGAGGACAGTGAACTCTGACGTTTCTTTCCCATCTCTTCCTTTCCTATCTTACGACGTTCGCCGTCGCTCAAACGAAGGTCCATTTTCAGAGACATCTTCGTGACCGGCCCCGAATGGTGCCGATGCTTCTCAAAGGCTGAACGCCCGTGCGCTGCGGTACGCAAGCGGTCATCTCCAGACGTTGCACCCGCCTGTGACTCTCGTGGATACTATCGAAGCACCCAGTGTCATCGTGGTCTCGGTCTCTGCTGGTGTGTCGATCCTCACGGTGTCGAGTTCGCTGGGACCAGAACACGTGGCAGCAAACCAGACTGCGGTAAGTTACTTCATCTCGTCGACGTCTTGTTTAACCGTTTCACCGCTGTTGGCGCCTATAGGCGCTTTGAAAATTTCTTCGCATTACACTATTAATTTTCTCCTCTGCACTCTTCCACGTTAATTCAATAAGACAATTTTTAAAATGATGCGGCCAAGAAAGAAATTTCTCAGCCGTCGTGAAACACACGCGTTACATACTAAAATTTGCCGCAGCGAAAGGGTTAACCCTCTAACTGTAAGGTCCGAGTGGAACTCCATAGTCCCGTACATTTTTATCAACCCTCTAAGTCTTTCAAACTTGCCGTAGAATTTTTTCATGGGTCGAAATAGTCTACTTTACACTTGGCCTAGGAGACTACTCGTTTGGAACACAGGAAAATGCGAAAATCGTGGATCTCTGGAGTCCCGCTCGAACTTAGAGAATTCCATGTCGCGAAGAAGTGATTCTATATCACTTAATCGAATAACGTTTCAGACACGATCGTGAACAAGATCAGCAACGGCGGATTGAAGACAAACAGCGTGGACCTGGACGACGACGAAGACGGCGGCACAGATTCTGCCCAGGACCTCGAGGGTTCCGCCGATCAGCCGTTAGACTTCTAGACTCCTTAGAATCAGCCAGCAACAGCAGCAACGGGAGCAGCACCTTAACGTGATATCGAACAGCCGGACGACGCATGGTTCTTCTTTCGAAGAGGAATGGGATAAAGCTAGCCCGGTCGTCCGCTTGCATCGAGTATCGCCGTTGTGACTGGAGGTGTCTTCAGTGAAGCAGGTCGGCGAAGGCTGCGACCCACGCGTGAGC